CCCATTCCCCCCCCATTCCCCCCCCATTCCCCCCCCATTCCCCCCCCATTCCCCCCCCATTCCCCCCCCATTCCCCCCCCATTCCCCCCCCATTCCCCCCCCATTCCCCCCCCATTCCCCCCCCATTCCCCCCCCATTCCCCCCCCCATTCCCCCCCCATTCCCCCCCCATTCCCCCCCCATTCCCCCCCCATTCCCCCCCCATTCCCCCCCCATTCCCCCCCCATTCCCCCCCCATTCCCCCCCATTCCCCCCCCATTCCCCCCCCATTCTCTCCCCATTCTCTCCCCATTTTCCCCACCCCATTGTCTACTCTCTTCTTCCACTTTCGCCCAGAGCAGGCAACGGCATGGTGTGGGCGTGGGGCGAGGGGCGTGAGGGGCAGCTGGGGGTAGGCAGGCGGGTGGGAAAGGTGACAGTGCCGGAGTGCGTGATGCTGCCCGCCCCTCCTACAGCGTCCGCTACAGATGACTCGTTACGAGCAACAGCGGTGGCTTGTGGAGGGAGACACAGCCTTGTTCTGGCAGGTGGGCAGGGGAGGGGAGAAGGGGAGGTGGTGGGCGTGAGGTGAAGGGTGTGATGGACAGCTGGGGGTAGGCAGGTGGGTGGGGAAGGTCACAGTGCCGGTCTGCATGATGCTGCCTGCTGCTTCTGCAGCATCCGTTACAAGCTCATCCGTTGTAGCAGATTGTGCTTCTAGAGATGACTCGTTACAGGCAACAGCGGTGGCTTGTGGAGGGAGACACAGCCTCGTGCTGGTAGGTGGGTGGGTGCGTGGGGAGGGATTATGCAAGGTGAATGGGTGGAGAGGGATTATGCAAGGTGAATGGGTGGAGAGGGATTATGCAAGGTGAATGAGTGGAGAGGGATTATGCAAGGTGAATGGGTGGAGAGGGATTATGCAAGGTGAATGGGTGGAGAGGGATTATGCAAGGTGAATGGGTGGGGAGCAACTGTACATTTGAGCAGAGGCACAAGCAGAGGCACAAGCAGAGGCAGAGGCAGATGCAGAGGCGGAGGCAGAGGCATGGGCATGGGCAGGGATACAGGCATGGGCATGGGGAGGGGTACAGGCAGAGGCACATGTCCCAGCTCGTCCTTTCCTGTTTGTTCCTTCTTCATTCACCCTTGTCCCACCCAACCCAATTTCCTCCACCTTCACATTCCCCCTGCCCCTCTCCCTTCCCCTTCCCCCCCCTCCCCCTCCCCCTTCCCCTTTCCCCCCCTTCCATCTATACCTCCGCCTCTCTTTCCTGTTTGTTTTCTCGCTCTGCCATGGCAGGGGATGGCTCGCTCTTCTCATTTGGATGGGGCCAGTACGGGCAGGTATGTACGCTCCCCCTCCCCTGTGTCCCTCCGCCTTCCTCTCCTTCCTCCCTCCACCTCCACCTCCACCACTCCCGTGTTTCCCCGCTGTGCCATGGCAGAGGAGGATGGCTCGCTCTTCTCATTTGGTTGGGGCCAGTATGGGCAAGTAGGCACGCCATTGATATGGGCTAATAGGTTTGCCATCCATGGCTTGTCTTGTGCTGCTGGTGCTGCTGGTGCTGATGCCGCTGGTGCTGCTGGTGCTGACCATACTACCCCAGTGTGGCCATGGTGCTGACCATACTACCCCAGTGTGGCCATGGTGCTGACCATACTACCCCAGTGTGGCCATGGTGCTGACCATGCCCACCCCTTCTCAACCCAAATCCCCTTAACCACCCTATCTCCCCCAGTGTGGCCACGGCACATCAGACGATCATCTCTCCCCCACGCGCCTCGCCTCCTTTGCCGGCCTCTCAGTAACAGCCATTGCTGCTGGCCTCTGGCACTCCCTCGCCCTCGTCCTCCCTGCCGGTTCTATGTGCGGCCGTGGTGCTGGTACTGGGGACGGTGGGAGTGGTCATGCTGACGTGGATGTGGACGGCGCTGACGTGGCGCTGGAAGGGGGTGACGTGTACAGCTGGGGGGGCAATCAGTTTGGCCAGCTGGGGACTGGAGACACGGCCGCTAAGGTGTGAACAACGACCGTTCCTAAACCAGCTGTTGCACACACGTGTTGAAACATTCTTTTCTTGTGCGCAAAAACAGTAGACTAGCCCTGTTTGTGCATATCATCCATTTCCCTGTTGTGTGTCCCTGCATCTCTGACTGACAGGCTAATCTGTGCCTGCATGCCTGTGTGTCTGTGTCTGCCGCCCTGTCAGGTGTTTCCAACGCTACTAGATTGCTCGGATCTAGACACTCGTTCAGTGAAAGCAATCTCCTGTGGAGCGAGGCATTCGGCTGCTGTCACCACCGACGGTGCTCTTTTCGTCTGGGGCTCCAACAAGTTCGGGCAGGTGTGTTTGTTTTGAGATGTGTCAACAATCTGCAGTCACCAACGACGGCGCTCTGTTCGTCTGGGGTTCCAACAAGTTTGGCCAGGTGTGTGTGTTCTGAGACATCTCAAAACTCTTATCTCACCACCGACGGCGCTCTTTTCGTTTGGGGCTCCAACAAGTTCGGGCAAGTGTATGTGTTTTGAGACATCTGATAACTTTTTGCTCACCGCCAACTGTGCTCTTTTTGTGTAAGAGCGTATTCCTACCCTCGTATCAATCGAACCTCATATCAAGCTCTCGCTGAAAATTCCCCTAAATCCAAAACCACTCGCTAGTTTTACCAGGCAAAAAGTACAAACTTGATACGAGGATTCCTGATATGAGGCCGTAGGAATACGCTCTAAACCCGTGGTAACAAGTTCGAGAAGGGGTGTGTGTGTTAAAACCTATGCTTCTTTCTGTTATGAAATCACAAACCCATTATTTTAATGTTTGGTGCCATCCATGCAAGTATAGTTGGATTCAATGCACCTGGTTATGTTGCCATGCAATCATTTCTAGTGCATCGAGCCCCATCCCCATGCTCTGACCTCCACTTACATGCCATGCACCCATGCATGGGACCAGTGCACATACTATTCTTATCATGCGTAATACTAAGCTCGTGTCCATCTTGTTTGTGCTCCAACTCCATAACATTCGTTTTTTTTTTTTTTTTTGCATTTTTGCGATATCAGTTGGGAATTGGTCACATTAGAGACAAGCATTCCCCTCACATGGTTTCCATGGAAAAGCATGACCAGCGACCTTGTGGTGGCATCACTAGCGCTCATAATAAGAAACGGCAACATGAGCATTGTGTGCGTGTGCAAGATGCCACGTGTGGCTGGTGGCACACCCTTGCGATTGTTGAGGATGGTGGAACCAATCACTAATAAGGAGAATCATGCATTAGATTGTAACAATAAGCTTTAGTGAATTCTTTGTTGTGAATGTCTGCCCGACCTGCCGCTCCTCAGGGATTGGTCAAAGGGCCCCGTCCAATCAAGGTGGTGAGGGCGCGTTCGTTCTTGCCGAACCTGACTGAAAGTTCGAACTTTTGTAACGGTTCGTCACGGTAGAATACAATTAAAAACGTTTTGCCACGGTGCAAAGCGGTTTGAGTTCGAACTTTGTCAGGTTCGGCAAGAACGAACGCGCCCTAAACAATCGTTTGCCACCCAGCAAATCCCAAATCCAACGTCCTTCTCACCACACAAGGGTTCTGACGTGTCGCTGTTTTTGCTTCTGAGTTGTGATTGGGCAAATTTGGGTCGCATTGATCGCGACGAAGACTGACGAAATCTGCCCGCCAGCCAAGTGCTCAGCGTGTAACAACTGACACGTCAAGTTCCGTGAACCTCACGTCTGCAGCGTAAAACCTTCATCCTGTCGCACGCAGCCAAGCCATCATACAGAATACCTCGAACCTTGGTCCCTCCCTCCCATTGGTTCCAAACGTCTCATGAGCACGTCAGACCGAACCTCCGAAATGCCATCTGGCAATCAGAGAGACCGGTGTCGACCCTGAACTTGCCGCGACGAATCACAGAGAGCGAGTGTTACGCTCGGCCGAGGCTCCAGTGCAGGCTGGATTCATCGTTCGGAACCTCTCTTGGAACTTCCCCGCGAGAAGCTCGGTTCATCATTTTTGGCTTTCTGTGGTTTGGACCTCCACCCTACTAAATCATTTTCTATTATATTTTACCCTGCTTAACCACTTCATAAACTTGTTTTGAGATGACTTCTAGATGCAGTTTACGTGTTCATCGACAGCTTCTTGCATTCAGCTATTTTGATATAACGCAGCCGCTATTGCTTCTCCAAACATGCGAGCATGTATGCACGCAAGCATGAGTCCACTTTCTCAGCAGCCAGTTCCGTGAGAAAATGACAATCAGACAGTGTGGATTGAACCTTTGATTGCTTCTCCGAACTGGCCATATACTATTTCGTTAGCCAGTTTCGGGTTTCGTTGTTGCTTCCATCTGCGAGCCTTCGGGCTAGCCCTTGGCGATTCTATGCAGAGTACTTATCGTGTATATATATATGATATAAAACCTTTGACACGTCGCAGAATAGTCTAGCTGCCATGTTGCTGGTACACGTGGCAGAGAGCGGTAGGTCGTTCGAGCTCCACTGCAGCGCGGACACGCCAGTAGATTCCGTCTGCGACACTCTCGCCTCCCTAACCGCCATACCTCCTCAGGACCAGCTCTTAATCTGCCGCGACGTGCGCCTCGAGCCCGGACGGCAACTCGGAGCGTATCAACTTCCCGATGCTGACGCTGACAGCAGCATCCATGACACAGCTGGCGCGGTCGACGCGCGCTCGCGCTCCGCATCTCACGGGCGCTCTCGCCCGGTCTTTCTTTTCAACAAGATGCGCCTCCTTCCAAAATCCCCTCCCCCCGCGGTAGAAGAAATCGAGGAGGTGATTGTACCAGAAGTGATTATAACGGTGGGCGAGCCTGGCGGCGAGCCGTTACATCCGTTAGACCGGTCGGGTAACCCGCTCCTCCGAGCCATCCCGTCGTACGAACGGCAATTTCGTCAGGATCTGTTACAGGCTCAGGCGTATCTCGCCGCCAGCCAATCGCGTTTCGACACGTGTCGGCGGCTCCTGCAGGAGCAGCACACGCAGGCAGAGGCCGTCCGTTCCGGATCCGCCAGCATGGAGGCGATGGCCCTCCATATAGTCACATCGTTTGCGGATTTCCAGTCCACGTATAAGCAGCAGCACAGCCGTCACGAGCTCCTTCTGCGAACCTTCCACCGGAACCTCCGCGCGCTGCATTCTTGTCGTTTACTGGCGCCCGTCCGGGTGGCAACCGGGTGGCAGAGCCTCGTGCAGCTGGCCAAGGAGCCGCGGCTGCAGCAGGCGTTCTCGGAGTGCCACGTGGCGCACGCTCAGATGGCCACGAAGGTCGCTGAGCTGGAGCAGCAGTTTCAAGACACACGGGCGGGAATCGAGGAGCTGATAGGCGGCGGAGCAGGGGGAAGCGGAGAAACTGCAGGCAGCGGGCCCGGGGCTGATGCTGCTACAGGCGCGGCGGGTGCTGACAGCAGGGGGACTGGTGGCGGAAGAGCAGGCGCGGAAGGGCGGAGGAGGGAGGCGGAGGTGGTGCGGGAGGTGGAGGGGATGGTGGAGGAGGGGCATCGGCTGCTGGAGGAGCAAGAAGTCATTCTTGGCGTTCTGGGGTGAGTTGACTTGCCGATTGGGGTGAGTTGACTTGCCGATTGGGGTGAGTTGACTTGCCGATTGGGGTGAGTTGACTTGCCGATTGGGGTGAGCTGACTTGCCGATTGGGGTGAGCTGACTTGCTCCCTGGGAAGTGTTCTGTGTTCTTCCCCTGGCATTGTGTTGTGTTCATTCGCTAAGGTTGAGTCAGCTAATTGCCCTTAGTCTTTGTGAGCATTGTTGATTGATGGTGGAGGAGGGGCATCGGCTGCTGGAGGAGCAAGAAGTCATTCTTGGCGTTCTGGGGTGAGTGAACTGCCCCCCTCTGGGATGGGATGGCGCTTTTGAGTTGACTCGAAAGCAGAGTCTGATTTTGAGTCAACTCAACATCGGCTGCTGGAGGAGCAAGAAGTAATTATTGGCGTTCTTGGGCGAGTGAGTTGATCTGCCCCCTGGGGTGGGATGTCGCTTTTGAGGTTCCTCATTGGACTCGCCGCTAAAGGCTGCTGGAGGAGCAAGAAGTCATCCTTAGCGTTCCGCGGTGAGTGAACTGTCCCCTGGGGTGGGATGACGCTTTTGAGTTGACTCAGAAGCAGAGTCTGATTTTGAGTCCGCTTTTGAGTTGACCCGAAATCGGCTGCTGGAGGAGCAAAAAATCATTCTTGGCGTTCTGGGGTGAGTTGATCTGCCCCCTGGGGTGGAATGACGCTTTTTAGTAGCCTCAGAAGCAGAGTTTGCTTTTCAGTTGACCCTAAATCGGCTGCTGGAGGAGCAACAAGTCATCCTTGGCGTTCTGGGGTGAGTTGACTTGGCGATTGGGGTGAGTTGACTTGCCCCCAGGGGTGAGTTGACTTGCTCCCTGGGGTGGGATGACGCCCCCTGCCCTTCCCCTTCTCTTTGAGGTGATCTGTCCTCCCCTCCTCCCCTTCTCCCTCCTCCGCACAGCAAGGATCTCAACCTCAACACATTGAGGCAGCTCACTCCACCACTGCACTGCACTGCACTGCACTGCACTGCACTGCACTGCACTACACTACACTGCACTGCACTGCACTGCACTGCACTCTCTCATGCGCCACGACTCCCCTGCCTGTCCTTCCCCTTTTCCCCTCCCCCCGGTCCACTACCCTCCCCTCCGTCCACTACCCTCCCCTCCCCCTACTCCTCTCCGCTGCCAGCAAGGATCTCAACGCAGTGAGGCAGCTAATACAGACTGCACTCTCTCATGCGCCACTGCTCCTCTCCCTGTCCTTTCTCCTTACGCCTATTTTCCCCTTTCCCCCCCCTTCTACCGTTTTTTCCTATCCTCCCGCCAGCAAGGATCTCAACACAGTGAGGCAGCCTCCACGCGATTGCACTCTCTCATTCACCATCTCCCCCCTGTCCTTCCCTCTATCCCTCCCCTCCCTTCTTCCCCTCCCTCCTTCCGCTCCCTCCTTCTCTTCCTTCCAGCAAGGACCTTAACACAGTGAGGCAGCTAATACACGACTGCACTCGCTCATGCATCACAACTCCCCCCCATCTCCTTCCCTCTCTTCCCTCCCCTTCCCTTCTCCCCCCCCCTCTTCCCCCACAGCAAAGATCTCAACACAGTGAGGCAGCTATTACACGACTGCACCCTCTCAGTCACCCATTCCTCGTCTTCCTCCTCCCCCTCCTTCTCCCCCTCCTTCTCCCCCTCCGCCTCCCCTTCCCGCCACCTCCCCCCTCCCTCCCCCTCCTCCTCCCCTTCCTCCTCCTCCTCCACCTCCTCTTCCTCCTCCCCTCTCCTCCAACCAATAGAAGCCGTCGCCGCACTAGACCCGATCTGCACCGTCCATTCCTCCTCCCTCCTCCCGCGAATCTCAGCCATCGATTCGCACCTGGCGGCTCTCGTCCAATCAGCGCGCGCCAGCAAGATCGCGATGACGAATCTCGTCCACACGCGCATGCAGGCCGTCGCCAGGTGGCAGTCCCGGGTTCGCGGATTCCGGAACCGCCTGCACGCGTTCCGAGAGGCGATTTCCCACCAAGACGCGCTCTTCTCGCTCCTCTCCTCCGCCCGGGCTTTAAGAGGGGCTTACGCGGATTGTTTAGGGGAAATTGCCCGGAGAAAAGGGTTCGGAATGGGGTATATGAGCAGGGCGCAGCTGGTAGCAGAGGAGATGGCGAGAGTGAGAGAGGAGGAGGTGGAGAGGAGAGAGAGGTTTTGGCAGCGGCAAGGAGAGTTGGGGTTGGTGCCTAGGGTTGTGATAGAGGGGATGGGCTTGGGGCAGGGGAGTGTTCCTAGTGTGTGTACTGTGAGTGTGGCGCCTTTTGATGAAGGTCTGGTGAGTGTGGGGGAGGGGGATTTGCCTGTTTGGGGAGAAGAGGGGGAAGGGGAGGGCGGGGAAGGGGAAGGGGACGGGGAGGAGGGGATGGTGTGGGAGGAGGGTGGGGGAGGGGCAGGGGGAGATGGAGGGGGAAGGGGAGGGGGAGCGGGGGAGGGGGTGTTGGGGAGATTGGAGCGAGAGGGGCAGGGGGAGGGACTGGGTGCGGGAGGGAAGGGGAGGAGGAGAGGGAGTGTTGGGGGGGAGGGCATGTGGGGGGGGAGTGCATTGACCGGCCAATGGAGTGCGCTTGCCAGTGATTCGAAAACAGGGGCGGATAACAAAAGCAGTATTGCACATGACTATAACGAGGATGGCACCGATAGCAGTGCTTTCCCCTCCCACCATCATCATCACCACCACCACCAACACCGGCACCATGCTGACGTGGACGACGAGGACGCTGACGTCAGCCAGTCGAACGATGACGTGGTGGGCGGCAGAAGCGCGGAGGAGCTGGCAGTAGATAACATGCGACTCAGGGCGGAGCTGATTGCGCTCAGAGTGCTGGGCGCAGCTGGGGGAGGTGCTTCTGGGGCAGGTTCATCTGGGGGAGGTTTATCTGTGGCCGGTGCTCCTGGGGTAGGCCCATTTGGGGGAGGCTTATCTGGGGTGGGGTCTTCTGCTGGGGAAGGTGCATGTGGTGGGGAAGGAGGAGAGGGAGGACACGTGGAGGAGTGGCAGCAGCTGGTGCAGGCGTTGCATTTGAGGGAGCAGGTGGTGCGGCATGTACAGGTGGCACTGCGTGATAGGCAGGCGCAGGTGCAGGCTTACGAGCGGCGAATCAGAGATCTGGAAGGGATGCTGGGCGATATGAGCCGAGACATCTCTAGGGATACGGCGGGTGATATGGGAAGCGGTATGAGAAGCAATGTGGGGGGAGGTACGAGTGAGGATGTGGGTAGAGACAAGGGAAGTGTGGGGACGAGTGGTGCAGTCAGAGGGAGGGAGGAGGAGCAGCAGGAGGGGAAGGAGGAGGGGCAGGAGGAGCAGGGGGAGCAGGAGGGGGAGAGAGAGGAGGGGAAGAGTGAGGAGGAGAGAAGGAGAGAGGTAGCAGGTTTGCAAGAGGAGCTCCAAACCACGTTGAGTGAGCTGCAGTTATTGCAATCCAAGCTCACTGCGACAGAATCGCAGCTATCCGCAGCGCAATCGAATTTGTCCGCAGGAGAATCAAATCTGGCCACCGTCCAATCGAAGCTCACCGCGGCGGAAGCCAGGCTGGCAGCCGCTGAGTCCCAGCTGGCGGAGGCCCGCGATGAGTCAGCGCGGCTCGATGCGCTGCTGAGCGAACGCAATGCTGAGCTGGACGCCCGCAGTGTAGATATAAATAATATCACTGTAGATTATAATGCTTGTAAAGAGGAATTGGGTCTGTGTATAGCGGAGCGTGAGCGAAATCAGAGCCAGTTAGAGCTGCTGCAGCAGGAGTTGGATCAGGCGAGTCAGCAGCAGAGGCGTGATGTGGCCAGAGTGGCGGATCTCGAAGCTGATGTGGCACGGAAGGATGCTGAGCTGGCGAGGCTGGCCGCTGACCTGGCAGCTGCTGAGGTGGCGGCGGGAAGGCTTGCTGCGCTGGAGGAGAAGGTCGGTGGGCCGGTGCAGCTGCAGCAGCTGGTGATGGAGAGGTTGGGAGCGATGGAGAGGGGTGGAGTAGAAGGGGCATTAGCAGGTACGGGAGGAGGTTGGGAAAGGAAGGGTGGTTCAACAGCTGGTTCGGAAGCTGGTGCGGGATTGGATCGGCAGGTCAGTGACGTGGCGAGACACGTGGCAGCAGTAGAGGAGTCGACTGCCACGTCACCCAGGCAGGGCAGTGACATGGCAAGACAGGTGGCGGCGTTGGAGGAGGCGCTGCGGAGGAAAACCGCCATGCTGGCAGAATGCCAGCTCAACTGCGCCCACCTGGAGAACCGGCTGCATGAGGCACGGAGTGCAGTGAGGACCGAGGCTCGACACAGCGAAGCAAAGGCCGAGGCACAGACACAGAGGGAGGAGAGGAATGAGGGACGTGCGCTTAAATGCACCGAGCTATCTGAGTGGCAGCGCAAGTGCGCAGATCTAGAGACCCGGCTGCACGAGGCGAGGAGCGAGGCCCGGACCATGCGCTGTGCGGCGGACCGACGGGCGGCGGAGAGCGGCGGGTTGCGGGCGGCAGCAGTGCGGCTGAGAGGGCTGATGGAGCGAATCAACCGATGCCTGCAGGCCAACAGCCTTTCAGCCGTGGTTGAGGGGCTTTCTGGCCTTGCCGATTCCCTGGGGGAGGCGACGGGTGCAGCAGCTGCTATTGACCTGAGCAGGAGTGCTGTTCTTGCTGCCAGCAGCGCGGCTATGGGCAGCATTGCTAGCAGCATGACCAGCAGTGCTGCTGCTTTTCTTCCTCCTCCTCCTCCTGCTGCTGCTGCTGCTGCTGCTGCTGGTCATGCTGCCCCTGCTGTGCCGACAGCAGAGGAGTGGGTGGTGGCGGCGGTGAGGGCGATAGCGGTGGGCGTGGGGCGGGTGGTGGAGCGCGGGCGCAGGGCAGAGGGGGACGCGCACCGCCTGGCACGTCAGCTGCAGAGAACATCTGATGCACTGGTGGACATGTCATCCAAACATGAGCTTGTCAAACAGGTGAGTGAGGATGAAACAGGTTGGCAGTGAGGGCAATATTAGTGGGCGTGGAGCGAGTGGTGGAGCGCGGGCACAGAGCAGAGGGGGACGCCTGGCACGGCAGAGCGGTGAACATGCTGGCAGAGCAGAGCGGAGCGGGCAGCTGCAACGCACGTCCGATGCTCTGGTGGACATGTCTTCGAAGCATGAGCCGGTGAAGCAGGTGAGGGGTGGGAAAGGTGGAGGGGTGTTGTTGTGCTGGCTTGTAGTGGCCAACAGGCGCAGGGCGGAGGGGGACGCACGCCCACCGCCTGGCACGGCAGCTGCAGAGAACATCAGATGCACTGGCTGATTTGTCTTCCAAGCACGAGCTGGTGAAGCAGGTGAGGAATGAGGGTGGTTATGCTGGCTTGTAGTGGTGAACATGTGAAGGGACGCCCTCCGCCTGGCAAGGCAGCTGCAGAGAACATCAGATGCACTGGTGGACATGTCTTCCAAGCACGAGCTGGTGAAGCAGGTGAGGAATGAGGGTGGTTATGCTGGCTTGTAGTGGTGAACATGTGAAGGGACGTCCTCCGCCTGGCAAGGCAGCTGCAGAGAACATCAGATGCACTGGTGGACATGTCTTCCAAGCACGAGCTGGTGAAGCAGGTGAGGAGTGAGGGTCAGGCAGGTCACAACTATCCTGCTCCCCCAGTTGTATTGCTCAACCTCGTTACCCCCTTAGCCTCTTTTTTTTTCTCTTCTCTCTCTTCATATATACCACGAGATCGCGCGTGGGAGAATCGCCTTCGCTCGTTTCCACACGCATGACGTTGCTGGCTTCGTGCCTTTGGGGAATGGGGGCCGCCACTACCGCGCCCTCTGCTCGCCCCAGTTGTATCAGCCACTCCCCCTTCCCCCCTCCCTTTTCTTACCGTCTGTACAGATCGCGCGTGAGAGGATAGCCTTTACCCGTTTCCACACGCATGACATTGCAGCCTTTGTGCCCATGGGGAGAGGGGGCCTCCACTACCGCGCCCTCTGCTCGCCGGATGCCGCTGCTGTGCCTCTCTTCCTATCGCCTCACTCCCTCGCACTCTTCCTGCAACAGCAGCAGCTGCATCAGGGACAGCAGGGGCAGCAGGGGCGGCAGCAGGGGGAGCAAGGGCAGGGGCAGGGGGAGCAGCAGCAGGCGCAGGGACAGGGACAGGAGCAAGGGCAGGGGCAAAAGCATTGTGAAATGCTGTGCCCTGTGATTGTGGGTCGCATTGTGCACATTGAACGCAAGATTGCTGCTGCTGAAAGCACTCCCAGCACTGCCACTGCTGTTGCCGACGGTGGCATTGATGGTGGTGGTGATGGCGCCAGTGTTACAGTCAGCAGTGCTGCTGCTGGTGCCAATGCCGCTGATGCTGGTGCTGCTGATGGTGGTGATGGTAGTTTCAAAAGCAGCAGAGGTAGTAGTAGTACCAGCAGTGCAGCCACTTCCTGTCCCTATGGGTTGCCTCCTGGTGCCCCCTATGCCGTGGTAACCATTGCAATGCTGCCTGCTGCTTCTGCTTCTGCTTCTCTCTCGTCTTCCACACCTGCTGCTGTTCGTGCTGCTACCGCTGCTGCTGGTGCCGGTGCTGCTGCGGGTACTGCTGCTGGTGCTGGTGGTAGTGGTGCTGCTGCTGCTTTTACTGCGCCCGCTGCTACATTTGCTGCTACTGCGTGTGAGTCTCCCACTGCTGGTTCTGTTGCAGCTGTCACGGCCGCTACAGCTGCTGCAGCAAGGGTTGCAGCAGTGGCTGCTGTTGCAGCAACCATTGGAGCCACATCAGCACCAACAGAGGCGCGAGGGTTACCAGTCGGTGCACCAGATTCGGGCAGGGTTACTTCTGCTTCTGCCCTGGTTAACTCAGAAACAGCAAGCCAAAGCCCCATTCCTTGAGTCGACCTAACACTGTCAGCAGCAAAATGAGTTTGACGGGATGAGAGCTAGCATCAGCGACAGCCGAGGTGGCTGGAGTGGCAGCCTTTGAAGCTTTTGAAATGCTCTGAGAGATGACTGGCAGCACCAGTTTATCAGCAGCACCAGCAGCATATGTGGGAGTCTCTCTTGCGAATTCTCAAGATTGTGAACCTAGAGCCAATTCGGTGAGCACCAGTCTTCCAGCAGCGGCACCACCAGCAGCTACAGCAGCAGCACCACCACCACCACCAGCAGCTGCTGCTACAGCAGCAGCACCACCACCACCACCAGCTGCTGCTAGCAGCAGCCAGAGCGCAAGGGAAGTTCGGGAGGCGGGTCATGTGAATGACCGCTGAATATATGCTGCCTTCATATGGTGCAGTGCAGTGTAGTGCTGTGTTGTGCGGAGTGCTCTGCGGTGCGGGACGTAGTGTAGCAGACAGTGTGACATGGCAGGGTTGAGTCCTCTTCAGGATATGCGGCAAGAACTCGAGCTGCTATATCACAGCCCTGGTGCCCTGTGGTAGGGTAGCAATTCTAATCTTCACCAGAAAGATGCTTCTACCGCCGGAATATGTTTGGGGCTACACAGTTTGGAATGGTTAATCTGATGAGTTAAATTGTGTATTGACCATGTTTACTACCATTTACAAGCTACACTTGAAAATCTGAAGATGGTAAATAAGAAAAAAAGAGAGAGATATAGCAAGAAAAAAAGTCACCTTTCATCTACAACTTCGTCAGGTACTGCGCTATTCTTTTGCTATTTTGGCGACTTCCGTCAGCTTGGTGTAGATTTCATCCACTGTCTCCTTCTTGTACTCTGTGCCTGCAAATGGAAGGTGCTTGGAAGCAACCTGCCGGTCAAAATAGAAGCCGCCGTTGACCAGCTTTGAATTCGGTTGACTCGCCAGCCACACGATGGTGTCTGCTCCCTCTTCTGGCCTTCTCAACGAGGTCTTGAACCTGGACGACAGATGCGGGACAGGAGAGCGGGAGAGGAGGGATGAGAGAAGGGAGACAGGAAAGGGGGTTGGCAAGGAACGGGAGGCGAGAAAAAATACATGCGCTTTTTGAGATGCCCAAGAAAGCGGGTTGACTCGCCAGCCACACTATGGTGTCCGCCCTCTCCTCTGGCCTTCTCCACGAGGCCTTGAACCTGGGGGAGGGGGAGATGGGCAGATGAGGGGAAATCTTGAGCGCTTTAGAATGTTTGAAGCGGTCAAGATGACTCACCTGCCGCACAAACATGTATGCCCCTCTTCTGGCCTTCTTAGCTGGGCCTTGAACCTGGGGAAGTGGGAGACGGATGGGTGTGGAAGGGGGTGTGAGAGGGGAAAAGATGGAACAAGAATGTGCAGAGCAATGTAGCCTGCAGCCACACTATTGTGACTGGCCGGCCCCTCCTCTGGCCTCCCCGAGGGGCGGACGAGAGGGGCGCACGAGAGGAAGGAGTTTCTCTCCTTGCCCAACAGATGCCCAAAGACGCCCTACAAAGATGCCCAACAGTCAAGTTGACTCGCCAGCCACACCATGGTGCCTGCCTCCCTCCCATGCTGGTTCTGAGGACGCACAAAGACATGACTGCTACACATGCAGCACACACATGCACGTACATTGATTCAAGAGCTCACATGTGGTCCCCAGCACTAAGATCGCCTCTGCCCAGGCTCCTCCACATAAGTCGAGTTTTGAGCCGACTTAAAACTTGATTTATCACACACACCTCTATCCATGCACCCGCACATGACCGGCACACATGCAGCACCCACAGACAGCCAAGCACCACAGGTCAATTCTCGAGTCAACTCACGTGTTGTAGAATCCAGGCATGCTGGTTTGGAGAACGGCGGTGTCTACATACCCCAGGTGCATCGAGTAGAGCCCTACTCCCGGCTGTACCCCATATAGCCCCGCCCACTTCACCATACAAGGCTAACACACACGCAGCATGCAGACACGTCCAATCACATTCGGACAATGCACACAAACACCAAAGACACATATGCAGCACACGCCCTCAAGTATTAGCTCTGAGGCGCCTCAAAATTAGACACATAAGCAGCACACGCCCTCAAGTAACTAACTAAGCCATTGATTTAAGAGCTCACGTGTTGTAGAATCCAGGCATGCTGGTTTGAAGGACGGCTGTGTCGACCCACCCCGGGTGCATGGAATAGAATCCTACTCCTGGCTGTACCCCATATAGCTCCGCCCAGCTCTCTGTTAAAGCCACCTGAAGGTGGTGCATGAATGGGAATAGAAAATAAATGAGTTGAGGTGGTTAAAATGTGACTGCAATTTGACTGCAATGTGACTGAAATGTGACTCAACTGTGACTGAAATGTGACTGAAATGTGACTGAAATGTGGCTGACACGTGGCTGAACTGTGCGAGCAAGCATACGCCTCCGTACCAACTTCCAACAAATTCGGTGCTTTACATCTGCAGATCGGTGCAGAGCGGTTGAGTCAGAACGCCCCCTCCACCACTCTCACCGAAAGTCTCTATCTCTCCCCCGCACTTCTCCCACACCACCACCCCTCTCCCTCATCCCCACCCCAACCCCCACTGTACCCCCCTAACCCCCCCTCTTCTTACCCGCCCCTCCCCCAACCCCCCCTTTCGCCCCTCCCCACACACACCTGCACTCGCTTGTTACGAGCGTATGCGTCAGTTCCATCAAACTTGGTGTCTTCCATTTGCATATCGGTGCTGAGCGGTTGGGTGAGAATGCCCCCTGTTGCCACGGTGATGACTTTCGCTTCGGGGGCTGCCCGCTGCAGCAGGGGCAGCAGAGCTTCGGTCAGAACAAAAGTTCCGAGCACGTTCACTGCAAAGTTGAGCTCAAATCTAAAAGGGAAGAGGGAAGGGGTACGGGTGAAGATTGACGAGGAGAGGGGAGAAGAGGGAAAAGGGAAGAGGAAAGGGAAGAGTGAGGAGGGAAATGGAAATTGGACTCAAAAGCGGTAATCATCCCATACAAATTCCCAGCGCCGTTCACCAGCACACACACACACACACACACCCATGGCAGAAGGAACAGTGCAAGTCATGTGGAGAGCTACACAGCAGTGCTCTCTCTCCCTCACTCACCCAGCTCCTGCTCCTGCTCCTGCTCCTGCTCCATGGTCCCAGCGTTGTTCACAGGCACAGAGCGACTCGTGTGGATGCCCCCACACACTGGCACACTCTCGCACGCACCCATCAGCCGATATATTTCTTCTCATGCTCCATGATCCCCGCATTGTTCACCAGCACATGGATTAGCGTGTCATTCAAATGCCCCCCCCATACAGCCGCTCTCACAGAGCTCAATGGCGCTCACTCCCTCTCACTCACCCATAAGGTGACGTCTTCTTTTCTTGCTCCTCCATGACTTCAGCGTTGTTCACCAGCACGAGGACGGGCGAGCCATGTGAATGCCCTCAGTGTGCCGTACCCACACTGGCACACTCTCAAAATACACACTCCCTCACTCACCCATCAGGCGACGTCTTCCTCTCATGCTCCATCACCCCCGCGTTGTTCACCAGCACGTGGATGGGCGTGTCTAGCCCCGCTAGCCGATCAGCCAGGGAGCGCACTTGGGAGAGAGAGGTGAGGTCGCACAGCTGGTGAGAGAAAGGAACATTGTGTGGGAGAGGCGAAACGGATTACACCACAATTGAATATCTGCGAGGGAGTGCACTCGAGCGAGAGAGGAGTGGTCGCATAGCTGGTGGGCAGGGAGGGCAGGGAGAGGTGAATCGGACCGCATCACAATTGTCAATCCGTGAGTGAGTGCAGCTCACTTGAGAGAGGGAGGAGAGGTCGCACAGCTGGCAGGGAGGGAGGGAGGGGCGGGGAGAGAAGGACAAAAGGGAGGGACGAAAGGGAGGGACGAAAGGGAGGGACGAAAGGGAGGGGAGTGTGCGGACGAAAGGGAGGGACTTTTGGGAGTATCCCTCTGAGGGAGAAGGGAGAGGCCAAGACGGAGGAAGGGGTGGGGAAGCGCGGAGGAGAGAAGTCATGGGATTGGATCGTGACGAGAAGACAAGAAAGAGAGGAGACTTGATAGGAACAAACACCCATGTACGGTGAAAAGACAAGCGAGGAGAATGAAAGCACCTGGTTCAAAAGGCAAATCTTTTGGCCTCTTGGGCTTAACAAACAACAGTTGGGCTTACAGATAAAAGCAAAACGATTGCTTTCCTTCCTCACCTGAAGGAACACCTGATCGTTTCCTGTTTGGGCGGCGATCTCCGAGGCTGCTGCAGCCCCTCTGGCTTCATTGCGGCACACTATGTGCACCGTGGCCCCCCTGGGGTTTTGGGGAAACGGTAGGGAGAGAGGGGGAGAGAAAGAGCGTGGGAATGACAGTGTGAATAGGGTCGCCCGTAAAGGATTGGGGAAGGAAGGGGCGGTTGTGTCGGGGGGAGGAAGGGCGGTAAAAGGACGGGAAAGCCTCATCTCCCACTTTTTCCCCTCCCTTCCTTACATGCGCCACCCTCTTACCTCTGCGCCATGGCAGTAGCAGCAGCGCGCCCAATGCCCTGATTCCCCCCCGTTACCACACACACGCGCCCCTGCATGTCCCGCCGCCCCCGCGCGTCCGCTGGTACAGGCTCCGCAGCAGCCGCACCGCCATGCCGAACCTCAGCTTCGGCATTCCTAGCCTCATCGGGACGCCGAGCGTCCGTGGTGACACCCGCTGTGGCCGCCTGATCGCCAGCGTCTTCAAACGACTTGGCGTGTTTCCTGGCGGGAATGTGCGCAGGGAGAACGCAGAAAGTGCGCGCGCGGAACGTTTGACAAAAAGTAAATAAACAATATTAGAAAATTTGACGGTGACGACACGGCGGAGAAGAGGTGACGAAAACGGGGGCGAGGAACAACGGGGAGGGATGGATGTAGGTCGTACAGGAAGGCGCTTCGAGTGAAGTTGGCGTTGCCGTACGCGAGGAAGAGCGCGTTGCGCAGGATCTGCGCGGAATGGAACGGGCGCGCGGGAGCGACGACACGGGAGCGAGGAATGAAGGGAAAGCGCTAAGGTGAAGTTGGCGCTGCGATTTTTGAGACGCGATGAACAACGCGTTGCGCAGGACCTGCACGGAACGAACGGCCGCGCGGGAGGGGAATGACGACTGAAGTAAAAACGCGACATTTGAGATAGTGTTCACTACGACTCCTCCTAAACTGCAGCGTCAAATGTTGGCCTATGTCATGCGGACATCTGCGAGTACGAACCTGCATGATGGCGCCAAAAATCCGAGCGGAACAATAGGCTAACTCTAACCGCGTGTAGGGAGTCCGAGGAAGTAAGCAGAGCGAGTAGGATAGCGAGCAACAGAGCGAACACAAGCTAAGAACTACAGAGCGGATTAGTACTCCCATTCCGCCTCAGGTCAGATGAGGATGCTGTCGCTCGAACTGGAATTTCCTGGAAGATCGCCAATCACGAAAGATCGAGGGACGTCCTTCGCCCACGTCAGCACTATGACGTGATGTTGTGTTCCCCAGGAAGAGGTACATAATGCGAACGCTGGAATTCTTGGAATTGTTTTCGCTTATTTTCGCTGACTTTCGTCTCCGGAGTTTTGGGTTTGGCCGAATGTAACTAGTAAATGTTTCGAAGGTAGCGAACATTGAATGTGTGAGACCGACGTCAATATTATGTGGCATGGAAGGTCCACTGACTGGGGAGTGACGTGGTGCGGCTACCTCCTCTACATGCTCCACTCTTGTCGTCCATGTGGCACTCGACCAACATTTTGTCTACACGTGGATAATACACGCACAAAAAGCAACTATAACTGGTACAGTAAAATATGCAACCAGCAGCCATAGGCCCTTCACTCACTTCGCCACACGTGTCCGAAACTACGTAGTCAGTGTTTGCGCAGGGCGGTTTCTCCGGACCCGAGCCTCCATTCCCCGCGAATTGAAATCACGGCTGGTTACCAGGCTAGGCCCCCCAATTTCGTTTCCTTACCAACCAGACCAAACCTCCCATCCCCGAAATTCTCGAGGCGACTCGGTCATGATCGCGGTTCGCAAGCCGAAATTGATCAGCTTGGGAATTGTGCTTGCACCCAACCCAAACCAAACAAAGCCCCCCCTCCGAAATCACTCATCCTTGCACCAGCGAAAAACCCGTCATGAGTCCTCATCGTGTTTTTCGCCCCTTTAGTAAGCCTTAAACCGAAGCTCTGATCCACCTCCGTCGCCGCCTTATCCAGTCTTACGCCTCCTCTGTCTTCTCATAAGGGCCATACCACAGAGGCAGCACAGCCTTCATTACTCGTTTTTTCCTGCTTGACAAGTCGCCCTGGATGCCCATACTTGCTCCTAAGCGTGATCAATCTCCGGACTGCTCCAATGAACGCCGTGGGCAGTAGTAGCTGTCTTAGCATTAGGCCGTTCCAGGACTCAGACCCGCTCCTCGACATCCCAGGGCCTTATTACATGGCCGAGGACATTTTCTGCCTCATTCAGCAGCCTAGCAACGATCCCGACAGTGGAAACACCAGCTCTCACGCTGAGGCCGCCTTAAGACTAGAAACGTCTAGTTCCCCATCTCCTGAGAGTCAAGCGCATCTTAGAATGTGCAGTGCAGGCAACGATCGAGGAATCAGCGCACAGAAACCCCCGCATCCTGCGGCGTGTGCCTCTGATGTCAACGCGGCGAATAGTACAGGCGTTCAACAGATGCTTTTGGGCGCGCCAGGGGGCCTCAGCACGGACATCCTCGCTAGTAACGTCCCCGATAATATTGACGAGTCACTGTTTCTTCCTCATCCAACGCAGACCACTGCTGGTGCGCTGGCTGTTGTTTCTAACAATAACAATAATACAAACGCTTTTGGCAGATCTTTTTCCATCTACGAGCCTGGCAAGGGCGACCAATCGCTGCTGCTCCACCATGCGGATCCGACGTCCATCCCCGCTACAGGTGCGGAGCTCGTGCACTACCATCGTCCTTCTAATCGAAGCACCGCCGCCACTCATGACGCCGCCACGTTTGCATCTGACTGCAAGCCAACGCCACGTGTCAACGCGGCGGATTTCGCGAATTACCCAGCTCCGAGCTTCGCTGGCGCGTCTGGCGTGGCGGGAAGCGCGTACGCGGCAGTGAAATCCGACGAGAATCCTCTCAAATTCGCGTCAACTCAGCAACATGACGATCGGAGCGCGGGCATGCACTCCCGACAACAGCCAGAACAAGAGATGCATTTTGACGAGAAAAATGTGTCGCAGAGGACGGGAGGGGAGGGAGGAAGGGGGTTGGGTTGCGACAATGTGGTAACCACCGAAGCAGCACTCGCTGACGACGGTTTTTTCGCTTCTATGCTTGATGACATTGATTTCGCACCCGTTGTTGTTGGGTCCGCGACAGGTTACCAAAACCCGAATACAGGGGTTCTGGGTTCTGCGTCGGAGTCTATGGCGGGCATTGGCGATTATCACAACTACGGCGAATTCTCTCATCAGCAGCAACAGTCATTACAGCAGCAGCAGCCACTGCAGGCGCAACTCAAGCCGCAGATCCAGCAACCACCGGCGCAGCAGCAGTTCCAGTGTAACACCAGCGGTAACCATCAGCAGAACGTCGCCACCGGTAGCTTCGCTTACCACAGCGGCGATCAATCGTCGCCACTAGGGTCTAACAGCGGGTTAGCTACCCACGCTTCTCCGCCAAACGCGCAGCCCGTCGCGGTCCCCCCCGTCAACCCCGGCGCCTATTCCGCAAGCGCCAGCGGGGGTAATATCCAATTCGCGCAGTCCTCGTACGAATCGCCGCAGCCAACTCTTCCACCGCCCGCGCTCCCGCCAAGCCATCCCGCCGGACCCTCCCAACCGCCCGCAGTCAGCTTTTACGGCGCTTCTGCTGTAACAGGAGGGTATTGCGGAGATTACGGCGCGCCTCACGTGCCCCCTTGCGCGGGCCTTCCGCTTCCGCAACCCGCGTCCCCGCTCGTCGTCTCCCCCACTTCTTCCTCTCCGCCTTTCTCCGCTCCACCACCCCCTCCTACCCGTTCCTTTCCGCCGCCTCCGCAAGCAGAATGGCCGGCGCAGATTCTGGCCCCGCCGCCGCAGCCGCAGCTGCAGAATCAGCCGAACGTGTGGCAACCGCAGCAGCAGCAGCAGCAGCAGCAGCAGCGGGTGCAGCAGGTGCAAGAGCAAGGGTGGTCGCAGGATGCGTCGCAGCAGCAGCTGAAACGAGTGCGCGGAGATGCTTATGTCGCGTACGAACGTCAAGGGAATGTGATGATGTCGCAAGAGAGCGCTCCACGTTACCCTGGCGTGATCCAAGCTGACGTGTCACAAAGCCAGAGAAGCCCTGCTGTCCACGTGGCACAGGCAGGGGCTGGCGGACGTGGGGGATGGGGATCCTCTAACCTCGGTACAATCACACCCGTCAAGAGACACTTTTCAGGGGCCATGATTTCACAGCATCAGCAGCAGCAGCAGCGGGTGCCGCAGCCACATCAGCAACACGTTTTGCCAACTCAGCAGCAGGGATACTTGCCCCAGCAGCAGCAGGAGCAAACGCGGTATCGCCAGCAACAGCAGCATCTCCTGCAACAGCAGCAGCAGCAGCACCAGCAGCAGCAGCGGCAACAACAACAGCAACAACACCACTCTTACCAGCAGCGTTATCAGCAACAGCAACACCAGCAGCAACCGCCTTACCAGCAGCAGCAGCAACAGCAGGCACACAGCTCCTTCTATGCAGCTCCAGACAATCGGTCTGCCCCCCCACCATCCACTCCCCCACCCATGCGCACCCCTCTCCCCCCTCCTCCCCCCACCCCCGCTGGCACTCTTCCTCCTTTCCCCCCTGCTGTGGGTGCTTCTGCTGCGATTGCTGGTGCAGCTTTTGGCGGTTCCGTTGCTGGTGGTGGTTCACCTGCTGCTAGGGCTGCTGCTGGAAGCAACGGTGGTGGTGCTGGTACTGGTAGTGACGATGGTACAGAGGCACCAGAAGGGGTGGACGAGGACGGGCAGGGAAATGCAACTCAGGACTCTGAACAACAGGTATACCCACTATCTATCCATTCCTTTTGTGTTTGTGTGTGTGTGTGTGTGTGTGTGTGTGTGTGTGTGTGTGTGTGTTTGTGTGTGTGTGTGTTTTAACCCACTTTTTCCCCTCTTCTTCTAGCCTGCTCCGTGTATTCATCCTCTCCATTCCATTTTTCGAACCCGGCTCAAATCAACTGCCTCGACTCATCCCCCCGTGCTTGTCTTCTCGCTCTGTCTTGTGTCTTCTCGCTCTGTCTTGTGTCTTCTCGCTCTGTCTTGTGTCTTCTCGCTCTGTCTTGTGTCTTCTCGCTCTGTCTTGTGTCTTACCCCTGAAACGCCCCTCAACACTCACCTCTCAATCAGGACGAGCCCATCCGGCGCAAGGGTCCGCGCACCACGTGTTTGAAGAAGTGTTTTGAGACGTCTCAAAACGCAAGGGTCCGCGCACCAAGTTCTCCAAGGAGGCGATTGACTGCCTCAACTCGTTCCTTGTCTCAACTCATCCCTCCCTGCTTGCCTTCGTCTTTGCCCCTCAACCACCCATCCCGCCTGGCCCTACCATCAACCCTCACCTCTTAAACAGGACGAGCCCATCCGGCGCAAGGGCCCGCGCACCAAGTTTTCCAAGGAGGCAGTTGACTGCCTCAACTCGTGGTTCCTCTCGCACCTCCACCACCCCTACCCCACCGAGGTACTACTCATCCCTACCCTACCCAACCCCATCCCAAGTACCTTCCATCCATCGCCATTCCATTGAGGTACCACCCAATCCCACCATTACTTTTTTAGTCGACTCAGAAGTTGATTGCCTCAACTCGTGGTTCCTCTCGCACCTCCACCACCCCTACCCCACCGAGGTACTACTCATCCCTACCCTACCCAACCCCATCCCAAGTACCTTCCATCCATCGCCATTCCATTGAGGTACCACCCAATCCCACCATTACTTTTTTAGTCGACTCAGAAGTTGATTGCCTCAACTCGTGGTTCCTCTCGCACCTCCACCACCCCTACTCTACCGAGGTACCACCCATCTCCACCGCACTGAAGTACCACCCAATCCCAACCTATCGAAGTACCAACCATCCTTCCACTTCACCCAGCCGTGTTGCTGCGCCCTCGTTTTTCTGTCCCAATTGACTCATGTTTTGCCCTCGTGTTGTTGTCCAAGCCCCACCTCAACTTCACCGAACAGACTAGTCGCCTTTGTCCCGCCATCCTCTCGTCGCTCTCCGCCTCTTCCATTTCCCCTTCCTCTTGTGTCCGTGTCTCCTGTTTCCCCAACACCCATGAGCAGAGGGAGAAGGCAGAGTTAGCAGCAAACTCGGGTCTGAGGGACACCCAAGTCAACTGCTGGTTTATCAACGCAAGGGTGAGTTGCCTGTTTTCGAGTACTCAAAAGCAAGGGTGAGTTGCCCTTCTTTTTTTGTCTTCTTCTTCTTTTAATTTTCTTTCTTTCGTTTCATTCTTTTGTTTACTTAAAAGCATGGTGCGCGAGTCGACACACATCCCTTCCACTCACAGTACTCCTCCCTTGTAAATTCACCCTTCCCTTGCTTGCAGATGAGGAGGTGGAGGAGGCAGAAGGAAAAGTGGCAGGGCAAGCAGGGAGGCGCTCCTGGTGGAGTGGGGGAGGGGAGGGGGAGGGAAGGAGCGGACGGAGGAGACGACAAGGGGGATGGAAGCGGCTCGAGTGGCCGGCATGGGGATGGGAACGTGGTGGTAAGTGGATGAATGAATCACGGATGCGATGCCATGGCAAAAAGATTCTTCTTGTTTTGAGGCGCCTCAAAACTGAACGTGGTGGTAAGAGAACAAATGAAACATGGATGCAATGCCATGGCAACATCATTCTTTTACCTTCTCGCTTTCCATTTCCCCCATCAGACCCACCTTTCCCCTTCTGCCCGCCCAACTCCCATCCTCCCCTCCTCACTCCCATCATCCCCTCCTCACTCCCATCCTCCCCTCCTCACTCCCATCATCCCCTCCTCACTCCCATCCTCCCCTCCTCACTCCCGTCAGCCCCTCCTCACTCCCGTCAGCCCCTCCTCACTCCCATCACCCCCTCCTCACCCACCCTCCCTATCCCCCACACAAGCACACAAATTCATCTCACCGCTTTCCCCATCAATTCCGTCTCAATTCCCCTTTCCTCCTCTCACTTTCGCCGTGAACTAAAGATTTCCCCGTTTTCCCCTTTCCCCGTTCTGCGCAGGTCAGCAGGCATCCATCTCCAGTTACTAGCACACCACACCTCGTTACCAGCACGCCCCTGCCCGACCCTACCAGCAGTCTCGCCCAGCAGCATCAGCAGCAGAAGCGGTATTCTCCTTCCCCTCTAGGCTGTAATACCAAGGGCATCGTCTTGAATACCGGGCATACTGCTGCTGGTGCTTCTGCCGGCGGTGCTGCTGGTCGTAGTAACAGTACTGGTGGTGGTAACCACATTGGTGCTGGTAACGCTTCTACAGCTGGTGGTTTTGCTGAGGTGGCAGACGAGGAGGAGGAGGAGGAGGAGGAGGAGGAGGAGGAGGAGTACCAATTCGTTGACTCGGAAGACCCGCTTGACTCTGTGCTTCCCGCTCTGGCGCTGCTAAGGTTGCAGGTGAAAAGGACGGAGCAGAAGGGGCAAAGAAGAAGGAAGGGGCAGCAAAAGCAGCAGGGGGGGAAGCACAAGGAGCAGGTGCAGGCGCAGAAGCAGACGCAGACGCAGACGCAGACGCAGACGCAGAAGCAGCAGAAAAAGCAGGAGGAGGAGGTGGAGGAGGGAAAAACGGGATACTTGAGGCTTCTTACCAATGATAAAGACGGGGGAAGTAGCGAGGGGGGTGAAGAGGACGAGGCAGAAGGGGGAATTGGTGGGGAGGGTGGGGAAGCTGACAGCGAGGAAGGGGCTGCTGATTTCAACGACAGGGAAAGCATAGAGGAGGAGAAGGTCGAACAGGAGGCAGGGGTAGGGGAGGACGGAGAGGAGGAGAGGGAGGAGGGAGAGGAGGGGGATGACGAGGGGAGTGAGGAGGGGAGCGAGGAGGAACAGCTGAAGGCGATGAGTCTGAGAGACGTGTACAGGCGGTGCTTTGGAGAGGAGGTGGTGCTGCGGAGGAGCTCAGACGAGGGCGATGGGCACGGGGGTGGCCCAGGGGCGGGTGGGAGGGGCGACGGACAGGGCAGCGTACAGGGGGGTGCGCAGGGGGGTGGGCAAGGGGGCGCGCAGGGGAATGGCAAGGGGAATGGACAGGGCGTGGGAGACTTGAGTACCAAAGGGAACATCCAGGGGAGTGAAAGGAGTGGACAGCAACAGCAGCGGCATCAGGAGAGTCAGTATGGGTTGACGCGAGCTGCAGCATCCAATTTCTGCAGCGTTTCTCCTGCTGGCGCTTGCGCTGCTGCCGCAAATGCTTATTTCCCCGCTCCTGCCATTGCTGCTGCTCCGGTTGACGCCACTCCTGCTGCTGGCATTTCTGCTGCTGCCGCCCCTGCTTCTGCCAGCGGTCTGAACGATGCAATGTTCGCCTCTGGTGGTGACATTGGAGGGGTTGACTATATCGGGGGCTTGCTGGACATGATGGACGGCCTGGATGGGCTCGCAGGAATGGACGGTCTGGATGGGCTTGACGGCTTGGAAGGGATTGATCTCATGGATGGAATGACTGGTCTGGGAGATTACCAAGGCGTTGCAGAGGGAGATGATGAAATGCAGGGTAATGGAGGGTTCGAGGGATATCCATGCACGGAAGGGGAACCGCTGGTAGCAGCACAGCAGGATACTACTGAGGTTCAGGAGTTTAATGGGCCTCCTCGGAAACAGGAGGAGGAAAACTACTTCTGTGATGAAGTAGAGGATTACTACAGCGAGGATGAGGAGGGAGACTATCTCAGAGGAAATGGAGAAGGTGTTGAGAGGTATGACACAGCAGGGTATGACATGGTAGGGTATGACGTGGCAGCCTGTAGGAGCAATGGCACCCCTGCAAGTGGGGGAGGCAGCATGGGGGAACACATGGTTGGTGCCGTGCCAGCCATTTAGAAGTTAGCCGTTTAGTAGATTAGGAGTAGGTAGTAGTGTTAGGGATTAGGTTCATAGTGAGGCTGGAAGAGCGTATAAGTACAGTTAGGATTTTTAGAGCTAGTGCAAGGCCACGCAAGCTGGTGGTGCGTGTAGCTAATCATGTTATGCTGTGATTTTAGCTAGGCTGCAATGGTTTCTTTGAAAAAACTGTTTTGGTTGTTTTGTTGATAATCTAAACCTGTTCACAGAAAAGTACGCCCTCCCACCTGAAAAAACACCTCCTCTCCCTACCTCTTACCTGTGATACTCTGTATGTTGTTGCGAAGAGTCTTTCTGGCACGCATACCATGCCATGCTAGGTGCGAATGCTGTTTCGCTTGAAGCTCCTGCAAAAGCGAGGAGTGTGAATTCCTGCCAGGGGAAAGTGGAAAGGCTGAAATGCGGAAACAGTCAGGCAAGCTCGTGGGTTGCACTCTCTAATGATACCTACCGTATAATATTTAGAAGAAATCCATGTCACACGCGGATTGAAGCTGCTGAGCGTCGACTACCGTATCAATGACAGAATCAGAAATTAGTCAGAGGGGAAGAAGTACTACTATGTCCAATTCGACCAGTTCACGAGGAAAAGGAAAGCGATTAGAGAGCGCAAGCAGCACCAAAAGAAGATCTGAGGCTGAGGTATGACGATGCAAATTCAGGGTGTATGGTGAAAACATAATGAGAAGAGAATGGTGGCGGAGAGGGGGTGGTGGTGAAGTGAATCTGTGGCAGGGGGAATCAGACAAGTGGAGTCAAGTTGACGCCATTCGAAATCCCAGGCGTTGTTGAGAAATGAACTGAAGCATGCATCAAAGAGGCAGAAAAGCGCGTGGAGCGTTTGTGTCGCTCTTTTGCTCTCGCATCACTCGTGATTTGCTAATTGCTTTCGCGAAAGCCAGCGGTTTCATACCGAATGGCGAAAATCAATGTGGGATGCTCCCGAGCGAACTCCCAAGTGACACTTTGAGTTGCCTGTTACACCTTGTCCCGCCATTTCATTGGGAACAGTGGGAATGCATCGAGTTCATGAATTGCAATTTCGAATGTTTTGTGGTGGCAGCGTGGCATCTGCGGTATGAGGTAATTTTCCTCGCCACGTGGACAGCCAAGTTCAGATCTCACCATAACTCGGCTCGCCTTGACTCACCCGGACAGGATGCCGACTTTTCAGGGTTTGGGGGAAGTGTCTCATGCCTACGTGGCAGAAACTGTCGAGCGCAGATTGAACCAATCACCATTCTCTTCGCGACCCCCACGCCACTGGTAACGCCCGCTAAGATCGCCATCCTGAGTCAGCCCAGCTAATCCTAGCCACCCATCGTTGGCTGCCAAGCGGTAAGTGCATCTTGCCACTACTGTCAACCAGCGCGGGAATACTCAATCTTTCATGGCGAGCGGAACCTGGAAGCCGATTTTCCGCCAGCCGCACCGCAAGCCATCACTTCCTCCCCCTTCCCTCCACCATTGCACACCCACCCAAGCCTACCAAACTTGCTACTGCGCGGTTCGTCATTATCGTCTGCCCAACTAGGCATTGCATATAAAGCAAACAATTGGCTCAATCTGAAGCCGCATTCGATTGGTTCGTAAGTTACGTTTAGTCTCTTCGTCGCCATGGCTGCGTCTACCAGCATTGCCGCTGGCTCGTCCCTGAAGCTCACAACCTCCTCGCTTGGCGCGAAGTCCTCTTCTTTCCAGGAATTTTCCGAGGGCTCCATTAGAAGCATCTCCCTCAAGAGCACCAAGCCAGCAGTGAGCAAGGCACAGTCCCGTCAGAATGCCAATGGCAAGAACCGCATGGTGGTTAAGGCCATGGCGCCTAACGCGCTCGTGGACATCAACGCAGCTGATGAAGTCAAGTTCAAGGCGCTTGTCTCTCGCCGCGTCGTCTTCGACCATGCCGACTGGAAGGTAAGAAGCAATTCTCTTTGACGCCACCTTCTTGCCTTGTGCCTCCACACCCTCACGCATCCCTATCTAGAAAATACGCATGTTTACGTTCCTTTGTCTCACTCTACAAGGATGCGTCCTGTAGTTCCCGTAGATGTGTCAAGCATTCCCTTCTCCCTTATCGACCTGCTCCAGCTCCACCCTTTCTCTCCTTTCTCACGTAATTTCACCTTTCTTTCCCCCCTTCCCTCCGCCCTCCCCCCCTCCCCCTTCGCCGCGCTCCCCCTCCCCCGCTCTTTCCAGAAACACAAATCGAGCGGCCGTTACTTCAAGCACCTGCGCACCATCCTGACCTCCAAGGTCATCGGCGCGCTGGGCCCGCCTGTGTCAGTGATGACGGGCATCGCAGCGGCGGTGGTGGGGTGGAACGAGATGGTTGTGATGGGTATTCTGCCCGAGTGGGCTCCCGTGCTGCACATCTCCAACCTCCCCTTCAGCCTCACCGCGCCTGCTCTTTCCTTCCTCTTGGTTTTCCGCACCAATGCCAGCTACGGCCGTTTCGATGAGGTAAGCATGAGGAAGATCTGAATCACTTATTGATATGTGCCATGTTGTTGGTGAATTGTCGAAATATGTGATGCTGACTCAGATGCAAATTTTCTTTCCGGTTTATTCTCCCATCAATCACACATTTCTGACGTTGTTTCTGTTTTTCCTTTTTCTGTTTTCCTACGTGCGCTCCTCCCGCCTACAGGCTCGCAAGATGTGGGGGCTCATGCTGAATCGCACGCGCGACATCACGCGACAGGCGCTGTCGTACATGGCGCGCGACCAGTACACGTACGAGTACCCCAAGCGCGCTCAGTTCATCCGCCATCTGCAGGCGTTCCCCCTCACCTACAAGCACCACTTCATCCAAGAGGGCTCGCTCGAGGAGGACCTCAGGGTAAACACCGCTACTTTGTCCGATACCCGCCGTGATTGCAACATTTATCAGGAAAAGCTGGATATCGTCGTTCAATTTCGGGTGCACAATATTCTCCGGTTCAAAATCTCGATTTAGGGCAGTCTTCCCGATCTATCAATCAATGTGTTTCTGTCTTGCCTTCGCACCCGTACCCTCGTCAGGATTTGACCAGTCTGACTGACGCGGAGATTGCGGGAGTGCTTAACGCCACCCATCGACCCAATTACGTGCTTCAGATGATGTCAGAGTGCATGCGCTCGTGCACCATGGAGCCCGTCAACCGCCTCGCCATGGTATGCCTTGTTAGAGCTCCCAAACGTTTTGAAATGATCGAGAATTGACTCTCAAGAAATGAACTTTGAGGCGTGCGATGTGTCATTACCATTATTCACTCAGTCCAACCGCACACGGGAGTAGAGTATCTCTAAAGGCTCTATCCTGGCCCATGTCTCATTGAAGCATTTCGTCTGTTCTGCCTGTTCCCCGTGCTGCGATTCTCCAGGAGGCCAACTTCGCGACGTTCGCGGATGACATCGGAGGCAGTGAGCGTCTCTTCAAGACGCCCATCCCGCTCTCCTACACGCGCCTCACCTCGCGCTTCCTTGTCCTCTACCACATGTTCCTGCCTTTCGCTCTGTGGGACCCCCTCGGCTGGCTCACCATCCCAGTGACTGCCACATGTGCGGCCGTCTTCTTCTGCATTGAGGAGGTCGGAGTGCTCATCGAGAACCCATTCCCGATTCTCGCTCTTGTCGTCATCTCCCAATCCGCGCGCAATAATGCCGGAGAGCTCGTTGCCCTGCATGAGGGTATCAGGAACCTTGTTGCTGAGGATGATCTCGAGATGAAGAATTTGTCTGCCCGCAAGCAGGAGGCTCTGCTGCAGACGCCTCAGTTTGTTGCCGAGCCCGAGCCTGAGTACTTGTCGGACTGGGATGAAGACGCTGCGGCTCTCGCCCCCATCCCTCCTCCCCCATCAGCTCCTGTGACCCCTCTGGCTGGGCGCGGTCCTTACAGCGATTAAATGTTTTGTAGTTTGCATTATTTGTCAAACCCTCTGCATGTAATTTTCTTTTTGCCAGATATTGGTTGTAAAGCGGCAGGTACGTGAATAATTGATTTGAAATTGCACCCAGAGTCAGTCGTTTTTGCAAGGTTCTCCGCCATAAGCACTTTTTTGCTAGTTTGCATGCTTCAATCATTTTGCCAGCTGCTTTGTATGACGTACTGTGCCTTAGTCTGTCGAGATTCTATTTGTGTTCTTCAGGCGTGTAAGATCCCCGTGCATCACAATTCGGCCATCAAAATTTGGTGGCCGTTGTGAAATTAACCCTAAACATCGTACGCCACCGCGCTGAACCATCTTGAAAGCGTTTCAAACACCATCGAGTTTCGCTTTCGGCCACCTAATTTTGATGGCCGAATGGTGATGCACGGGGATCTTACACGCCCTTACAGACTTTATGATGTTGGGTACATCCAACAGAAGAAAGCAACGCGCTCCCATTGTCAAGCTCAAACCTACTTGTAGCAGTAGTTGTGTAATATTCTGCGAGAAAGCCAAGTAAACTTGCTGCTTGGAATTTGAATTCATGGTCCGAATCCAAGGCTCGGGTTGAAGAGTAGCTGAGCGAGGATTAGCTGAATGGCACCATGAGCGAGGACTAGCTGAAGTTGCGCTGTATTGGTTCCCTTCCACACAGGCTACATACAACAAAAGCATCACATTAAAATTGGCTGGTGGTGGGCGATTTTCCGGAGCTGGCGAATACAAAATGCCCGCGCGAAAAGGAAAGGCCGCGCGCCAGCACGTCGCACAGCTAACTTGGGTGGCAAGCGATGAAGCCTGGTCCAGCCCGAAGAAGATGCCACGTGGATTAGCTTTTGACTTCGTGGTCGGCCAGCTAGCAGCCCCACTCCCAAGCCCGCGTTTTGATGGCAGACAATGCCGACGTGTCATGTATCTGGTCAGATCACATCGGCTGATACGCGGACATCAATCACCCAGCTGACTCTTTGATTTCGTCAGCACACGCCAGACTCGCTCGGCCTTCCAGTCACCTCACTTCCCGTGGGCTCATCAAGTAGCCAATCAGCTCGCTTCGATCACATGAATTGGCCGATGGAATTCGTCTGGAAACGACTCCATTCCAGATCCAACGGCTCTGCTTGACTTCTGTTCGGGCGAACTGCCTGGTTCTAGCGAGTGAGATCGAGATTTGAGAGACTCGGCCTGCGTGTTTGGCTCTCATCAACCTTTTGAATGTCGGCATTCCTGCATGTTTTCACCAACCAGGTGGCAGCAAGATCTTTCTCTGATAAGAGGGTGTAAAACGCCTACTTCAGTTTTTCATTTCACACATCTGCTTCGGATTATTTACTCTGACGCACACTAGTCGGAATCCCCAAGGCGTAGAAGGTACGTTCCTGAATGTCCAGGTTTATTAGCAGGACTCTCGATTTCTTCAGCCAGTGACTGAGCTCCGTGACGAAAATGGCGGCCACGAGTGTCGCATCACGCACCTCCATGTTTCTGTCTCCTGCTCAGACCAGCCTGAAGGCTCAAGCTGCAGGCCTGCAGGACTGGACCGACGGATCTTTGAGGAGTGTTTCTCTCCGCAAGGATAGCGTCAATGTCACCAAAGCTCACACTGTGCAGAAGAAGGCTAGAGGACCCTTGGTGGTGAAGGCAGTGGTTCCTAAGAATTTGGTAGATGTTGAAACCATTGATGAGAAGAAGTTCGAGGCATTGGTGCTGCGACGGGTGGTGTTCGGTCATGATGACTGGAAGGTGCGTCGTCGTTCACGTTCACGTTACGTTGACGTTCACGTTCACTCACGAACCGTGCATACATTGTCGTTTCATGTTTCCTTCTAGCTAAGTCTTTTTAGTTGTTGTTTTCAATCCCGTAAACGCCTTGGTGCTTCCAGAAACACAAATCTAGCGGCCGGTACTTCCGTCACATGAAATCCATGCTTACGTCTAAGGTTATCGGCGCGCTCGGACCTCCAGTTTCCGTGATGACTGGAATCGCAGCCGGTGTGGTTGGGTGGAATCAGCTGGTTACGATGGGTGCATTGCCCGAGTGGGTTCCCCTGCTGCACATGTCCAACCTCCCGTACACCCTCACGGCACCTGCTCTCTCCTTCCTCCTCGTCTTCCGGACCAATGCCAGCTACGGCCGCTTCGACGAGGTGCGTTCCGAGTTTTAGCCTTCAAGTTTAATGCAGTCAGCTTCCATCCCGAAAAGTTATCAAATGTGTGAGGATTGAAACGTCGAGGGTCCTGTGTCGGAGTGGTTAGTAACCGGCTATAATCTTCGACGCTCATGCGTTGTGTGCCCATGTCGATTCGTTTCGTTCATCCCGCAGGCTCGCAAGATGTGGGGGCTCATGCTGAATCGCACGCGCGACATCACGCGACAGGCGCTGTCGTACATGGCGCGCGACCAGTACACGTACGAGTACCCCAAACGCGCTCAGTTCATCCGCCACCTGCAGGCGTTCGCACTTACCTACAAGCACCACTTTCTTCAAGAGGGCTCGTTGGAGGAAGACCTTCGTGTGAGTAACACCCTTCTGACTCATTGTGGCTCTTCCTAAGCACAATAACTAGTTTGCTTGTAATACAGTTTACTCAGTTTTTAAAATGTTATTATTGTTATGCGGTGTAACGTGTTTGACGCCTGCTTGTGCATTCTACACGTCCCTTGCAGCAATTCACCACTCTGTCCGACGAGGAGATTGCGGGGATTCTGGGGGCGACCCACCGGCCCAACTACGTGCTTCAGATGATGTCGGAGTGCATGCGCTCGTGCACCATGGAGCCAATGCACCGCGTGGCCATGGTGAGTTTCGCATTCCCTCCTTATGTTCTCGTCTCTATCGTCATGCTTCTGTATCGAGAAATCGTCGTTGGAAATCCATAGAAATAAGCTTACATACAAAGCTCAACATACAGCAGGGGTTATTTTAGAATGGCAAGACCAGAGAAGTCCTCAGGCATAATCCTTTTGACGATCTCAGGAGCTCCATCAACAGATACACAAGTAGCTTGGAAGCTGGATGACTAGTGCAGCCGGAATCAGCACATTTCTTATCCTCCCCTCTATTCCTTTTCTCCCTGCATTCTCCAGGAGGCCAACTTCGCGACGTTCGCGGATGACATCGGAGGCAGTGAGCGTCTCTTCAAGACGCCCATCCCGCTCTCCTACACGCGCCTCACCTCGCGCTTCCTCGTCCTCTACCACATGTTCCTGCCTTTCGCTCTGTGGGACCCCCTCGGCTGGCTCACCATCCCAGTGACTGCCACGTGTGCGGCCATCTTTTTCTGCATCGAGGAGGTCGGAGTGCTTATTGAAAACCCCTTCCCCATCCTGGCACTCGACGTCATCGCTCAATCGGCACGGAACAATGCCGCTGTAAGTCCCATCCTGCTGCTGCCACGTGTACAACGATCTTGTTCTGTTGAGGAGGTTGGAGTGCTCATTGAGAACCCCTTCCCCATCCTTGCGCTCGACGCCATCGCTCAATCAGCACAGAACAATGCCGCTGTAAGTCTTCTTGCTGTGCAACCTGCTGCTGCCACTTGGGTTAGGCACTCTTGTCATTTGGTTGACTTTTGGGTCTGACTCAAAAGTCACATCGAGGAGGTCGGAGTGCTCACTGAGAACCCTTCCCCATCCTTGCACTGAGGTTATCACTCAATCAGCACGGAACAATGCTGCTGTAGGTCCCCTTCCAGTGCGCATCCCTCTACTGCCACTTGGCTCTGCCATCCTTGTTATCTGGTTTCCACCTTCCTGACCCACCTCTCCCAATCCCCCCGAGTCAGATCTCTCCTTCCATCCTGCCACCCTTGTCATCATTTTTCCTCTCCATCACACTCCCCAAGTTTCTTCATAACAAGCACTTGTGGAGTGGAACAGCATGAAGTATTCCACATTATCAGTCGTGGAATCTGACTTCTGTAACCTACAGTTATGTGCATTCACCCAGTCGAAACCCGCCCATCTTCCTATGGTTGGATTCCTGTGGCGCTGCATGATTGCGGAGATAATTGCAATCTCAATGTTGGAGTGAGACCTTGTAATGAAGCAGCTCTCACTTACCAGCCTCTCAGTCCCCCTGTCCAATCCGCATGTGCATGCTCTGATCTTACCCTCTCCCATTTGCAACCACTGAAATAAATGCCAGTCATGAGGGCATTCGCAACCTAGTGGCAGGGGACGACCTTGAGATGAAGATGCTGTCAGCCGACCAACTCCCAAGACTTCTGTAATGTGACTCAGACTCAAAATTCGCCCTGCCCGCTCTTCTCCCTGCCCCCCCTTCAACAGGAGCTCGTGTCACTGCATGAGGGCATCCGCTACCTAGTAGTGGAGGACGACCTTGAGATGAAGATGCTGTCAGCAGACTCACAGGACGTAATAATGTATTGCTGGCTCAAACTTCTCCCTCTCTGCTCCCCCTCACAGGAGCTCGTGTCGCTGCATGAGGGCATCCGCAACCTAGTGGTGGAGGACGACCTGGAGATGAAGATGCTCTCAGCCGTCTCCCAAGAGGCGCTGTTGCCTCATGCCCCTCAGTACGTGCCTGAGCCCGAACCCGAGTACCAGTCAGACTGGGATGAAGACGCAGCTGCTCTTGTCACCCCTTCCACCCCGCCTCCTCCTACCCCCAATGGCCCCATTGCCGCTCGCGGCCCCTACAGCCTGTGAGGTGGCGTGAGGCTTCCTTGAGCCCTCCCAAAAGTGGGAGGGGTTCAGGTTTCAAGAGTTTTTGGGAACTTTTAGTCACTGGCGTCCAAGGATGGGATTATGTGTTTGTAGAGTGTAGTATGGTAAAGGCTGCTGCCTTCAGCTTATGCTAACATCTTCTATTTCAGGTTGTCAACGGCGACAAACGGGAAACATTCACCTTGTGCATCATTGAACTAGTCATGGATCAACGGACAAGGACACATTCAATAATATTTTCAACACAAATACTGCTATCTGGTGTGATTTCACCAGTGGCCTGTCCGTCTGAAGACTTCACATTTAGTTTGTACCATTACATATGATCATGCTTGCGTGAAAACCCAATACCAGTATCAGCATGGTTATGAGAGGTTGGAAGCGTTCGGCGAAAAAAAAAAAACAAAAAAAAATAAAAAAAAAAACTGAAAAAGGGGATATTTTGAAAATGTGCGTGGGGTGAAAGCGAATTCAGGAAGCGACAGCTGTTTCCGAGGTTATGGGAGAGCCAAACGACTCATCACGGTGCGTTAGGGCACTTGCCCGCCCCACCACTGGTGGGGCACACTGCGCTTTGTTGGGCTGAGAAAAGCCCTTAGGATCTTTTGCTGGGAATACAAGCGTTTATATATGAATACAAGGAATATGAAAGGATGCAGTTGTAACTACTTTACTGTTGCTGTTGCGGTTCGATACAGTAACGACTCGGGCAACCGCTCTGTAACGAGTCGGTTGTGTGTCCTTGCTGTCGTACTGTACTTGTCAGGTCAAAGGTCGCTGACCTTTGACTTTCGCGTAACCTCCGGCAACCTCTTTCAACCTCCGAGGGTTGACTCGCTCGTGCCTCGATATGACTCGCTTCGCTTCTGGTGTGATGTTTCGACACGACAGAGGCGCTTTAGGAATTACTTGTTTCCAACACTCCCCTTCGCTTCTGGAGTGTCGCAGTTGATGACGTGGCCCTGTCCAGTCAGCAGCATGCAGTACTCGAACTTCTGCTTTCCGAGTTTCTTGGTCAAGTAGTCAGCTGCCATCTCGGACGTCGGACAGTAGGATAGTTCAAGTCTCCCCTTCTCGATCTCGTCTTTCACGAAGAAATATCGCAGGGCGATATGCTTCATTCTATTCGCGAAGCCACTTTTGTTGGCGATGCGAATTGCAGACTGGTTGTCGCAGAACAGGGTGAAGTTGGGTAACTCAGCTAACTTCGCTTCTTCCAGCAGTTCGCGAAGGTAAAGTCCTTCTTTGGTGGCTGAGCAGAGTGCAATATATTCTGCTTCAGCTGATGAGAGGGCGATTAGTTCCTGCTTGCTCGACTGCCAGGAGATAGGACCGATAGGCTCGAGTCGGTAGATGTAGCCGGTGCGGGAGCGCCTATTGTCGGAATCGCCGGCGTGATCGGCATCGACATAACCGATTAGCTTAGAGGTTGGTGTAGTTGTGTTCTTGTGATACGTTAAGCCGATCGTTGGAGTGCTGACGAAGTAGTGAAGAGCGCGGTCGAGCTCCGCCAGGTGTTCTGTTTCAGGCCTTTTGAGGTAGGTAGCGAGCTGGCTTGCGGAGTATGAGAGGTCGGGGCGGCAGGTGACAGCTGCGAAGAGAAGACAGCCCAACTTTCTCTGGTAGTCGCGTATGCCGGCGGGCTTCAGTAGAGTAGATCCTCCCTTGTCGGCTCCTGTCGTGTAACGGTATGGCGTGGAGATCGCGGTCGGTGTGAAGGCGAAACGCTTGGCGATAGTGTCGGCGTATTTTGCGGCGCTGAGGTAGATTGCAGTTTCTTCTTCTCGGATGTTGAGCCCAAGGTACTGTGTGACTGTAGATGAAACCGTGAGCGTGAGATCTTGCTGCAGCTCCCCTTCGAACCAGGTGGTGATGCCGTCGGTCGAGCCGATGTAGAGGAGGTCGTCTACATAGACGATTAGCAGGATGTAGTCGTCGTTCTTCGTGAGCCGGTACATGCCCTGGTCGTGCGGGAGTTGCTTAAAACCGATGCGAATGAGACGTGCGTGCAGGTACTGTTGCCATAGTCGCGGAGCCTGTTTGATCCCGTAGAGTGATTTTAGCAGCTGGCAAACGTGCGTGGAGTTCGTGCTGGAGCCGTGTGGTAGTTCTACAAAGATCTCTGCGTCAACAGGTGCGTAGAGAAATGCGTTTGCGAATCAATCTGTCGCAACTTTTTCTTCTTCATGGCGGCGATTGCGAGAAGGATGCGAAGTGAAGTATGGCGGCTAACTGGAGCAAACGTTTCGGTGAAGTCCCGTCCATGCTCCTGGTCGAAACCGCGTACGACCCAGCGTGCCTTGAACTTGTCGATGGTGCCGTCAGCCTTTGTTTTCACACGGAAGACCCACTTTCCAGTGAGTATTGTCTTGTTTCGTGCTACGCCGATAGGGACGACTTTCCAGGTGTTGCGCTCCTCTAGTGCCTTCAGCTCTTTGTCCATGGCTTCACGCCATTTTTCCCTATGTTCCCCCCCCAGAGCCTGTTGAACCGTCGCAGGCTCCTTAGGAGGTGTCGTGCCGTGGACTGCGGTGACGAGGCCGAGGATTTGCAGTCCACTCTGTGTGTAGCGGGGGAGTGTGGTATCCTCGGGATAAACTGCTTCGTCTCCTGCTTGAGGATCCGGTAAGAAATTCGGTCCTATGCGTTCTGCTTCGTCGGTGTTGACCCGTGCAGGTGTAACGTAACCGGTGTCGGCGAAATCGTAGAAGACTTCGGCGTTGACGCTTTCGCGAGGATTGTCGTCGTCCATTGGGATATCTACGGAGCAGTAAGGGAGAGGTCCGGCTGCTTCCGAGGCTCCGTCCACGTTCTGCTCGTCCAGGTCAGCTTCGTCGGCTGCCGAAGCGAAGGCTCTGTCTCCACGAAATCCGCTGGTGAGGTCACGCTGTTCTGCCAGGTTGGCAAGGTAGGAGTCGAGGGTGAGTCGCTCGTAGAAGATGACGTCGCGTGCTGGTACTGTTTCCTTTGAGTGGACGTTGAAAATTTTCCACACGTTGTAGTTCTTTTCGATGCCCAGGTGTAGTCCCCATTGTGCGCGTTGGGAGAATCGGCCGGCCCGTGCAGCTGGGGGTCGGTACTGTACCATGCACCCAAAAACTCGTAACATTTTTGTGCTGCCCAGTTTTCCTGTCCACAGCAGGTGCGGTGATGCGTTGTTCGGGAGTGACGACGAAGACAGCAAGTTGTGCAGCATGACAGCGTGGTCCATCGCCTCTGGCCACTGGTGGTTGGGTAGTCGCATGCCACGTAGCAGTTTGCGCATGGTGTTCTGCAGTGTCCTGTTCATCCTTTCTGCTACGCCTTGCTGTTGATGGGCGTAGGGGAGGGAGATGAGTTTCTTGATTCCTCTTTCCGCCAAGTACTGCTTGAACCTTTGTGAGGTGTATTCTCCTCCCCCGTCTGACTGAAAGCTTTTCAGCTTGACTCCCGATTCTCGTTCCGCAACTGGTAGCCAGGCGACAAAGGCTTCGAAAGCCATATCGCGGCTTGGAAGGTTGAGGTGCCAGACGTATCGAGTGGCGGCGTCGATGAAGGTGATGGTGTAATTGAGAGCTCCTTGCCCTGTTGCGCGATTATACAGGATGTCGCTGTATACCTTCTCAAGTGGTGTGTATGCAGGTGCGCTTGGGTTGTGATGAGGTACGAACGGCTGATGCGGTAGGTCGGCTTCGGGGCAGGTGAAGCATGTTCCTCTGACTCGTTGAAGTTCTCTCCCGTCGTGCAGTAGTAGGGAGTCTTTGTCGAGCACTCCTGCTCTTATCGTGTTGTTTAATGTTGTGTTGCTTGGGTGTCCCATCCGTGCGTGCCAGATGTCTTCGCTGGCGCGGTGCCCGGGGGAGCGTCTGTACATGTCTGAGTTTGAGTAAAAGCCGGCGGTGATGTTAGCGCTTCGGTGGACTTCTCGTGGTGCCGGGGTTAACTGCTGTGCGGGTGTCGGAGGCGAATCGTCGATGGAGATTGGTGCCGTTGAAGGACCGGCGATTGGTGTCGATGTTGCCGCTGCTGCTGCCGATGTTGTCTCTGCTGCTGCCGATGTTGTTTCTGCTGCTGCCGATGTTGTCTCTGCTGCTGCCGGTGTTGTCTCTGCTGCTGCCGATGTTTGTTGAATTGTTGCTAACGCCCTTGTTCTCTCTGTTTCAGGAATGGTGTGTGAGTGCCAGAAGCCGCCGGGACTGAAGTCTGGGTCAAGATCTGGAGGATGTGTCCAAGGAGCAAAGCTGACGATGCCGTCGCTGTCAGCGGTGCCAAGGTCTGGTACGAAATCAAGAACGAAGACGTTATTCTTGAGGATCGCCTTTCCGATATAGAGGCCGCCTTTCCCGTGGTACAGCTTGAACTCTTGAGCGGTGCTGTCTGCTTCGAGGTGGATGCCTTTCGCCATCAACTGACTGACGCTGAGTAAGTTGTAGCCGAGTCCTTCTGCTATTAAGACCTTTTGTCAGAGGTCCACTGGTGATCCCCGATTGATCCTAGGGAAGGGTTACAGGCACGGCGGCCTGGGGGGTTATGGGCGCACTCACCCGCTACACAAACAAGCCCTTTTATCCCAGTGGTTAGTGGCTGGGATTTTGACATGGTATCAGAGCGAAGTGTCAGAAATAACGGACTGGAATGATGGACTAGCAAGGATTGTGAGTACAAATATGAAACCCTAATGTTGTGACCCCCCTATAGGCTAACCCACTACAGCCTACACAAATACAACATGTATAATGTTTGACACACCCCCATAGGCAAAGTGGGGGAGTCCTAGGGGTCACAAGACCAGTCAAGGCAAAACAAGGCAACAACAAGCTCAGGGTGGACCTCAAGGATTCCACACAAATTCCGAGCACAAGCTAGTGGTCACAAGACCAGTTCACATGCAAGTTTATAACAGAGCAAGAGATACAGTGATCACAACCTAGCAAAAGTAAACATGCAGGTATAGATATATATAGTGATCACAGTACAAGCAAAGTCAAGAGGTAAGCAAGTGAGGTCCAGTAGGCACAAGGCCTAGTAGAGTGCAGAAGCGCTGATGGTCACGAGGCTGAAGCGCCTTGGTGAACACATCAGCAGTGTTGGCCTCAGTGGCCACGTAGCGAATACAAAGCTGACCGCGCTGCTGCAGCTCACGAGCAAGGAAGTACCGCAGGGCGATGTGCTTCGTTCTGTGCTCCAGTCTGTGCTCCTCACACAAGGTAATGGCAGCCTTG